CTGAGCCGCTGAAGGAGGAGAACTGTTTTCTGCTGAGCTGGCTGGCTGCCTGCGACAGCTGGGAGCAGCTCGGTTACTCCAGAGCAGAACCAGGTACTTCCCTGCCCTGGGGAGAATCTGCTCTTGGTGGCCCGAGGTGAGTGCCGAAGGTAACTGAGCCACAAGGGCCCATTTCAAAGCACTCGGTTAAACACCACTGTAAAGAAACCGGCCCCTTGTCTCCGGTGTGGGCATCTTGCTCTTCCGTGCCGACTCAGGCAGTGTCCTGCGGTGGTGCCTGGCAAAGCACACGTGACAACGGTCTAACGCTGCCGTTTCACTGCTGCGGCAAGCTGACCTAGGCGTGGAGGAAAAGGAAGGTCCCTTTCTGTGCCCGCTGAAAACAGACCTGGCAGGACAAAGGATGACTTCCCAGCTGGGTTTGTTCCTTGCTCCAGCTTGCCACGCAGCCTCCCAAAAGCAGCGTCACGGGCAGGGCTGGGAATGCTCCATGCGGAGGGGCAGAAGGAGGGGCAGCGTGACTGACCCTCTGGCAGGGGTGCTTCGGCTTGGGATCTCTGCCGTCCTCTCTCCAAGCCAGAGACAGAAATATCCCACGAGCAACACCAAAGCCACGGGGTTTCAGATCATTTTGCGTAGCTGACGTTTCTCCAGGGATCATCACTCTCACGTCTGGGAGGAGCCTGTGTTCTCCCAAGCGCTGTGCAGAGGTACCTGTTCAAGTCTAAAGCACCTGAGATGCAAGCATCAGCCCAACCAACACGGGGAGGATCCTTCGCTGCAGCGAGGATGAAATGACATTTCTGGGGAAGGGTACAGGCAGATTGATGCGGGATTTGTCTGGCTTGTTAACCAACTTCAGGTAGCACAGGAGAGAAGGCAGACAAAACCTGGCAGAGGGCACCATGTGGATGACAGAGACCCAGTAGAGACACATCCACAGTGGCCAGGATTTAGCGTGAAGTCCCACTGGAAGAGGTAGGACGTGTCTAGCAGAGAAGGTAGTCTTTTTCCACCCTCAAATGAAGAAATACTCTGAAAAGCTCGACTCAAGTCCAAGGGAAGGAAAAGAAGTGCAGTCCCCAGCACTTGCTGTGGAAATTTTCCATGTATTAGCCAAGTGTCTAAGCAAGGCCCTTGTGAGCAGTGCACTGCCATCGCGGATGGCATCCCAATACCCCTCCACCCCCGAGAAACACCAAGACAGTCAATGGACGGATCGCTTACCGAAAAAAATAATCCCTTTCTTTTTGCCTATGGGGTAGAGGACAGAAATGTGGGAAGACAAGATTTTTCAAGACAAGCCGAGGGATATGGAAGTGAAAGAACTGAAACAAGCAGCTAATTTGAACGAAACCCAATCGGCTTGCTTTTCCAAGATCCACCCGTTTCATTTCAGGCATTAGGGTATACGAAAAACGAGACGTTTCTAAATTACTTGCATGTGGCAGTGGGTCTCCTAGAGGGTGTGGGAGTGGCAGTCTACAACCCCAGGGCAGGATCTTCAAGAGGAAAGGAGACTGCTGAACGGGACATAGCAGATACCAGAACTCAAGCACATAAGCTCTCTGGGTAGCCAAGAGCTCAGCACGCTGTAGTAACCAAAGAGCCAAACTCTCCTACCCACAAAACCACATGCGATTTTCCTTCCTTGTTTATCAGAGAAATCCAAGTGGGAATCAGTGATAGATGAAAAGGGGTAACATCTTTACTTTAAAAATATTACAGTCAAAGAATAGCTATTTTTCTTGTGGTAAAGAGGCTTCCTCTGAAAGGACTGTGATAGCTTCAAGAGTGAGAAATTCAGAGGAAGGAGGCTGTGGTTTGAGCAGTTTCCTTGGCATGCCAGAGGTGCAAAAGCCTACGAACAAAGCGTTCTTAGGAGTACAGAATTTCTCCTGTTCTGAAATGGAGAGACATCGGGGTCCTCCAAGGAGAAGTCCTCCACCAAGAGCACCCTTCCACACGTAGCTGATTTTTTTCATTTCTAGAAGGATGTCGGAAATGAGGGAGGTGAGCAACTAAAATCAACAGCCTTTTAGCTTGCCAGCGTAAATAACCCAGGTCTTTACGAAGGGCTTGAGAGTGCTGATCTACTGTCTCCGAAGTGGCTGGGAGGGACGCTGCAGTCTGCCACAGGCCCACGGCTAGATCCAGACCGTCTTCATTCACGGGCCCTGGGGGAACTGGAGCAACGCAGTGAACAATTTGTGGACCTGGTGCCTGTATCGTTTCACGAAAACTTCTAAGCTGGTAACCACAATTTTCAGGAAGCGACAGTGAGAGGCACAAGTCATGCCTTCACTGGGAAACGCCTGGCGTGGTAAGAAGAGGACCTCCCCCGGACAAACGCCCTCCCCTCCAGAGCAGAGGAGAGGGATGGGCACCTCTGGGAACCTGGAAGTTCAAGACTTCTACACCCTGAAGGAATAATATGTCCTCGGACTTCCTTGGTTTTATCTTGATGACTGGTTAGCAGGGGAGTAACGAGAACTGCTACAAGAATAACGTGCTCCAGGATCGATGCCCAAAGACCCTCAGGAATCACCAGCAGCACCTGGAGTCTAGTCTCGCACGCTGTGTTCAGCCTACTTGGAGGGTTCCACACATGCAGCTTCCCAAAGAAAAAGTCCCTTTCAGGAGCAACTCCCAGCACGTAACATCACGGCAAGGTCTCTATCTAAGACGTGAGTGGGGAGGGACGCGGACAGACCGGAGTGAACGATGTGTCATTACCGAGCATTACTTCTCTCTGCTCTGCTGCTGTAAACGAAGCGGCATAGACTGGACTCACCTAGTACCGAGCTGCTGTAGAAGTCCCATGCTGTTCGAGGATCTCCATCAGTCCGCCCCTGCAGATCCGAAAGGTAATCTAAAGAGAAAAAATGGAGAGGGTTAATGCTTATCTGCTGGTCAAAGCACGATCCTGGCATGCATATCCATTGACCCTGGGTGAGCCACTTCATCTCTGCTGCTTTTCCCCACTCTGCAGTTAGGCGTTATGGCAAAAGCCGAACCGTAACTTGCAGGAAGGGTACCCTCACTCAGGAGAGGACAACGTGACCCCGGGCCTGAGAACTTGAAATGGAAGCTGAAAAGGGAAAACAACGGACAACATTAAGTGGGTCGGAAAGAAAGGTTCTTAGTGCTGTCTTGAGTTCAAAATCACATCTCCAACACCTGCGTGTAGAGTTAAGCCCGGAGGAGCACAGACAGACAGCTGGCAAACAAGATTTTTTCAACAAAGGAGATTTTCTGCCTTGTATCTATCTGGGAGCCACCACTACTCTAGCTGTCTCTTCCTTGCTGTTGTGTAGAAGCCACAGCACTCATCTTGCTTCCACACAAACAGGGCAGAAAGCAGCCACGCTTCACTCTCAGCCATAGGTATCCAAAATGGTCCTTTCTAACAACGGCAGGCAGCATTGGGCAGAGCTGTTTGTGAGTGGAAGGCATCATTACCTGGCAGCAAAATTACGTTCACTTAGGTTATGTAGCAGAACCAGGAGCTGCGGAACAGTGTCTCCAAGGCTCATGCACAGCACTGTCTATAGTTGTGTGACTACAGCATTGCCATCTCCTGGCACATTAAAGACTGAGAAGTATCTTATTTGGAAAAGAGTATACAACGCTATAATTAAAGATTGGGTGGTAAAAACACACACACGACAGGACAGAGCTCGAATTATTCAGTCGCCTGCTGCTCAAGCGCTTCTAAACCCTCTGACACCCAGATTTGGTTCCGTATGCTGCCAGACGGGAAGGATGGAAGCGGTGCCACCCCCAGGCCGGGCACCTACCGCAGAGGAAGCGTTTCATCACTTCACTGGTGGCAAGCTTCACTGCTGTCTGCCCAGAGTAAGTGGCCAGAGTGGGATCAGCACCATAGGAGAGTAGAAGCCACATGGTTTCCAGGTTGTCATTTGCTACTGCGTCGTGGACAGGCCTGCAAGGACAGAAGCAATGGCAGAAAAAGAAGAGACGGGAAGAGTTCGCAAAGCAAATGCTCTGTTTTGGGTCAAGACAAATCTAGTGACGACCTACAGCTCATCCTGAAAAACACTCTGCTCCCTGCCCCCTCGCTCCTCAGCGCGTGCCCCGCTGTCCCCCCCTCGCTGGCTTGCCTTGTGCCATCCTGCGCGCTGCAGTTCACGTTGGCGCCGTGCTCTAGCAGAATGTGGAGGATGTCGATCCAGCCTCGCGCACAGGCTTCGTGCAGAGCTGTGTAGCCTGCGTTGTCACGATGGTTCACGTCACTGCTCTTTTTCTGCAGGCAATAGAGCACTACGTCCTACAGGAAAGATCATTGCAGGCCTGGTTACGCACAAACCCAGACAAGGCGGCGCAGGGGACAAAGCAGCAAAAGGCACCAAAACTCACCTTGTAGCCCAGGCGAGCTGCTCGCTGCAGAAGGGTCTCCCCTGCGTTTTTGTTCACAATCAGCCGCCGAGCTCCAGGAGGAACGTTCTGGGCCGTGGGCAATTCGGGGGAGCTCCCTGGGCTGACCCGACGGGACTTACAAAGTGTCCACAAGTCCTGGGGCTTCTTCAGAGGGCGCATTTTGGGCTGGTTCCAGCAGCCTTTCCCCTGGAAAAGAAAGGAATGCAACTCCGTGGCACACGTGGCCATGGCTTACTAACAGGGGTCCCCTTCTCTCTCTTCTCCCCATGCGCGTTCCCCTCATCAGCCCAAGCCATACCTTCCCCTCGTCACAGATCCCTGCCAGGTGCTTGGTTTTACATTTGCGTTTTCCTGATGGTTTCTCTAGCTCTTCTTGGACAGGAGAGCTGTCTGAGTGCTCCAGGAAGAAGCCATTCCGAAAGTCTGGGCGCCCTTGAGATTTTCGGGGGGATGGGGAAAGCCTGCTCCTCAGCCGCAGCTCTGTGCCTTTGCCCTGCCCAGCCTCCTTCTGCTTCCGATACCTAAAATCTGAAGGAGAAACAGGAATGAGGAGCTTCTGTAGGTACAGCACCGAAGGGCAGCAACCCAGACCTCTGCCACCAGGCAAAACAAACTGCCCATCTTTGATGGCTGCTCATCCAGCAATCCAGACCCGCGGCGGAGACACTGCAGTAAGTAGAAGCAGAGTGAATCTGCAGATTCTCCCCACCAGGGATGGGCTCAGCACGGGCACAAGATGCCCAACGACAGGCAGCCATCCTGGTCTGAAAAGGCCGAGCCTACTGAGAGCTGGGGCTTGCACACAACTGACTAAGGCTTTTCCTTGGGTCTGACAGGGAACCCAGCACGAAACAGCCCAGCTTGTCAGCATGCTTCCTGGTAGTTTGGTCATTGCATGCTGCCATAGGGCACGCTCCCCTGCCTGTAAGGCTGAGCAGGACCCACGGGGGTACCCCTCAGAGAGACGGAAAATGCAGGAGGGTATCCCCTTTACACTGCCTGTGAACAGTCAGTGCTTTGCTGCCTACAAAACCAGACCCTGCCTTGCCCTTAAGTTCAGCAGCACATTAGAGTTTCAATTAATATGCACGCAGGTAGGAAGCGCCAGGATGCCTCGAGGGAAATCCAGTCTTTTCTTCCTTGCATTATACAGAGCTGCAGCATTGCTCATTACAGAGCCCTGCGCATCGCGCAAGGACGGGCGCTCTGCTTCCCTGAAACAGCAAGGGCACGACAGCAATGGGAAAACACAGTACGGAATGAGAAAGTAAAGCCCTGTGAATAAATAACTGCCCGGACTTATATGATGCCGTGCACCTCCCTCTGCGCAGATGATCAGTGCTGGAATAAAATAGTTTACAAAGGAAGAGCCCTGTGCAGACCAAAGGACCAAGGAGGCATCTGTACGCAGCTCTGCAGAGTCTGAGTCTCTCAAGCCTGGCTCTCCGCAGCTTTGGGCACTTTGTTTGGGAACCAAGACTTTGCTTCCTTTTCAGGTGAAGAGCTAGGAGATGCCCCCATGGGTTAGTTCAAGGCATCAAGAGGATAAACTCCAGGAGCAAAACTTTATGTCTATTAGGGACACTGCTGCCTCCAGCGCCATGGCAGGTTTTGTAGATCTCCAGGAGCAGCATCTTCAGCTTCCACGTTACGCTGAGACTCGAGATTCTCCTCATCAAGCACCACACGTAACTTCCACTTATGTCTTGCTATTGCTAGGAAGCAGGGGCCACGGATCTCGCATGGGAAACTGCGTTTGGCCAAGATACCAAGGTAGGACCACAAATAAAATCCCGAAGCAAGCATGCCTCAAGTACTGTTCTGGTCTCCACACCTCAGGAAGAATGGAGTGGAAGTGGAGAAAGGCAACCAAAACGACTGAGGGGTGGAGAAGCTTCCCTACAAGAGAGGCTGGGACTCCTCAGTCTGGAGAGGAGAAGGCGGAGAAGGATGCGACCAAAATTTGCAAAAATCGTAAAAGGGTGGATCAGCTGAGTGGAGGAATCTTGTTCACACAATTCTGCAGCACAAGACTTAAGGGCACGCGATGAAACGAGCAAGAAATCAGCGAAAAAACAGACGGGAGAAAGGACAGCAGTGAAACTCCAGGGCGCACGCTCATAGATGAGGACAAAGTGGTCGGCCCAAAAGCAAGGCGGTGCCGGTCAGAGAGAGAGGACAGCGCCAACGGATCCAAGCATTACCTTCACCATCAAAGGGATATGGCCTCCTTCGCCCCAGTGCCCGCCCTGAAGCCCAGGGGCCCCGGTTGTTTCTCAGGGGCACTTGATGAGGAGGGGGCATTAGCAACCAAAGATTGCTTGTGTTCACCCCTCTCCTGGGGGGGATCCGGCCCCAGCGAGCCAGGTGTCTGTCAGTGGATCGCTGCAGCTCGTCCCCAAAGATGACGCCGATTCTTTAGCGAGTACAGGACACAGTGGTCTGCTTTCTCTAAACACGTGGGCTGGCCCCCGTCCCTGCTCCGGCTGCCAGCCAGCTTACAGTGCCACTGCAACGCCCGGGTCCTCATCTCCAAAGCCAGCAACGGCTCTAGGCCACAACTTCTGAATCCAAAATACAGAAGCTCACGTATCCGAGGGCTGAGCAAGCAGTCCCTGAGGGAAACTGGCTTCTGGACAGAAGACAGACGCTCTTAAGATGTGTGGTAAAGCTCCTGGAGAAAACCCTCCCGCATGCTGCTGCACTCAAACCTCCTTCTCGGGCTCTGTTTGGAACAGGCGTCAGTGGGAGACAGCCTGAGAGCGCCCTTGAGCTGCGAAGGTGCCAGGAAGCCCACCAGAAACTTTACTCTTGGTCTCACAGAGGCACCCAGACACGGCAGCAATAGCGCAAAGCCGTGCCAGAGCAGAAAGCTTGGGAGATCAGCGGGTGGGAGGACAGCGGCCATCTCTCCTGCTTCTCACAGCGCCTCAGCAGCGTCTCAGCCCCTCCTGAGGACTGCCGATCTGAGCACCGGTGTGGCAGAAGGCAAGAGGTCCATATCCCCTGCATCACCTCCAAGAGGAAGGCCCCGGCATATGGAGGGCCGGCAGCAGTGCTTCCCCAGCACGCTGGCTCAGAGACGC